TTTAATTTTTTAAAATGCGTGCACGATCTCAAATAAAATATCTATTCGCAACTTTTCATTTAAAATACTATTTCACCGAGCTCTATTTGTGTATATGACAATGAGAGCCGAGCCCGCGGCGTACAAGTTCGATGGGAATGTTCGTTAAAATAACCAATTATCCATGTTTTTCTATCGGGAGCACTCGGTGCTCCCTCGATACGAGGAAAGGAAACCTGTTAAAGCGTTCCTATTTAATGGGACGAAAGTGGCGAGCTACGATATTGTGGAATATCGGATCGCGGAATGTCTCTGGTCGAAGAACTAATTACACTGTTTTCTTTCTTAAATCGACGCGTTTGTACCCTCCCCTCCCCTCCTCTCTCTCTCTCTGGCGAATTGTATACTGCTGTCTTTGTTTCTTTGTTTCCCACCCCCCCTTTTTCTATCGGTGACCTGGAAAAGATTCTGGAGCCTGTTTCGAAGGACTCCATTCGTCCGAGGGTCCTCCAGGGATTCAATAAGTATTCAACGAAATTTTGAAGCGCCGATAGGAGCGAAAAGAAAACTGGGGGGAAGGATTTTATTGTGGGAAATGCGGTGTGTTTTATTTTAGAATACCGTTGATTTATTTAGGGCATTTTTGGTATCACTTCTAAAGGCTTATTAATAGATTTAAAGTAAAATTCTTTTTATGTTCGTTTTATATATTGCACTCATATTGTTTTCATTTTCATTCTTCTTCTTATTATTACTATTTTATGTTCATTATTATTATTATTATTATTATTATTACGTTGAATTTATGTAGAAAAATTAAAAGGGCATTGCTAAACAACTGAAAGAGGAGGACATTTTTTCTCCAATTACAAGGCCGCGTAACTTCGTGCAAAACGACAATGTTCCGCAATCAATTGCGAGAGATGGATGCTAGAAATACATTTAATTAATTCTCTAATAATTCGAACACGTTGAAAATAGAATATCGACGATCTCCAACTATTTCAATTTGTCCCCTGCTTTAAATTGCTTCTACCCGTTTTCGCGATAAAAGCCGCGGTCTGTTCACGCGGGAAAAAAAAAATATAAATGAAAAGTTAATAACGACCGCGCGGAAAAATAGGCCGCGGGTTCGAATATGCCGGGAACAAAATATTTCTATCGGTACTAGTCTCGTTTTTATTTGAAAACGTGCCGCATAGTCGACGGTCAGGCGCAACGATTTTTCCAGCCAGTTGGCGGAATGCGTGCGCGAAATCCAACTCTCGGGCGTATTGTTACCGGTCCCGGTGGCGTGTCTGATTACCCTCGATTCGATTCACGAATTACGATTTCATCGGTGGGAAAAAAAAGGTCGCGCGGCGGCGCGCACTATCAGCCGGAGAGGCGGCCATTTGCCCAGGTTCCCGTCTGCGACGCACGAGCGTCCATACAATTAATTATTGACCCGTTTTAATCGTGTTAGGTCTAATTAGCGGGGTGGGGTAGGGAGAGTCCGTCTCAAAGTTGTTAATTAAATTGGTTAATGCGATAAAGGGGAAGTCCATGCCGGAGTTCTCTGTTCCCTTTCTCTCCCCGCCCCTTTCGTCGCACCCCGTGGTCCCACAGCTCGCTCGTCTTTGCGCCGCGGCGCTGCAGAAATACTTTTCCCCGGCCGGCGATTATTTCAATTACACCAGTTGTATATACGTACACACGCGCGCCGCGCCGATCGGCACCACCGTGGGTTCTCTGGTTTAATTGAAACTCGTTCGGCGACGCATAAAAGTCGATTCGCGTTCCCGCAAAAACATTGTGAGAACGTGCCGCGACTTGGAAATCAACCGGCCGACAAATATTCGCCGATTCCCCGAAACAACTTACCGATATTCAGATATTTGGATTGCCGGCGATGCAATATTCATTCTATCGACGGCGGAATATTTCTGAAACGATTTTATTACCTTCCTTTCTCGTTCTTTCGGAAATAAGTGGCCGACGGATATTCGTCGATTCGCCGCGAAAAATCACCGCTATTCAAATATTCTTATATTACAGGAAATTCATTATTCGTACCGTCGACGTTGGAATATTTGTCAAATGATTTCTGGACATTCTTTTGTCTGACTTTTTTTCGAAATAAATAGTCGACCAATATACGTCGATTTTCTGCAAAAAGAATCGTCGATATTGAAACACATTGGTGTGCAAAATTGAGTACACATCGTTTTGAACGCGGTAACTTTTTCAAAATCGAAACAAGTGGCTTGAATTATTTTTTATATTATTAAACAATGAGAAAAAAAGTATTTGCGAAAGTTACGATTGGTCGGAGCAACGAAAAGAAATAAGGAAGATACGTTTTTCAACTTTTTTGTCGTTCGAAAATTTCGTAACGAAAATTTATGCAATAAGTTTTACTGGCTTCGATCAGTTAGCGTCATTACTTTCGACGTTTAGGCTCTTCGTCGATTCGACATGCCGAAATCGATCTTCGTGATCGATCTTTCGACCGCCATTTTCGACGTCCCCCCGCGAATTTTCGACGCCGCAGTGAAAGGGTGAAATATCAGACGTCCACGCAACAAAGTTTTCAGACCGAATCGTTGATTGCTACCACTTTCACGTCGTGAAATATTGGATCGAAAGAAAAAAAAGATACGATCGACTCGATCGACGGCGTCAAGTTTCAACCGGTCAATACGCCAGTCGATATTACAAAACCGGGAACGATTATAACAGCGCGGTAAGTCGATATCGGCTGATAATAATAAACATTTCTATACCCGGCTCCATTTAACCGATTCAGCGTGTCCCGGAGTCGTTGAAATAACTTCGAGCAGGCTACCTCAAAAATTTTATATAACGTAGATTGATCTAAATGAGGTCTCAAACATTCTCTTAATGAACCGAACAGACGAGAATTTGATTTCATTTCTCGTATTCCGGTCGGCTTGTCAATATTCAGCGTACATAAATTATCGTTGCCTTTGCGGCGCAAGCTTCTTTTATGTGGCTCAGTTAAAGATTTTCCAATAGAATTGACGTAAATGCTGGAATTAGGTAAATGCGGCTGGTTCAGCCTATTTGCTTCGTCGAGACACTACCTTTTTTCCTTATGAGAAACGTTCTGTGAATAGAAAGCGGGTCTTGCGCAGTCATGTCATCTCCATCATCAGGTAATTGAGTCTTTAAAAATTGATCGTGAGACAGAGGAGATTACGTTCGTTACGAATTGTGACGTTACAATTGTGACGACTGTGATTCTGTGATTTACGTGGACACAATTAAATGAATTCTCTGCGCATCGTTACTTGAAACCATGATTTAATAAACTTTCCTTTAACAATATTTTTATTTATAGACAATTTTATTTATGACGATAAAATATGTTGTAAGCACTAAGATTTTATAATGTATGAAAAATACCCTCGTTTCTGTCCCACATATTTTCCACTGATTCCGAAAAAAGTGTGTTCAACACTTCGTTTAATTAGTTACGATCGACGTTGATAATCTCATGTCAAGGTTACTAAATTTCATCCGAGATTTTCGTTATCGAAGGAGAGATGTGTAAGGTTAATTATTAATCTTTCCATCACATTGATTTTCTGTCGTAACGTCACTTTGACACCAAGGAACAAATTAAGTTGGCAACATGAAGGACAGGTTAGGATTAACAGGTTGCGCTATAACAGAGTTAGACTCGTGACGAAGATTTCATACATAATCTATTAAATGTTATTCATTTCCCCGAAATTTCTTAAATTATCTGGATCTAGGGACGAGAATACATCGAGACGTACAAGAAATAAAAATTGTCTCGCTTTATTTGGAAAATTATTAAGTATTAAGTACTGCTAATCAATGTAACTATGAATAAAATCGTAGTGCAAGAAATTAGAGCAACAATACTGAACGAACTGCATCATCAGATTTCGTATCGGTACTAGACAAACATTCCGATGAAACAATTTCTTTATTATTTCATGTTGTCTATTTCCGAATAAACTGATTTATTACGAATTCAAAAAATTGAACATAAAAAATAAAAAATTGAGTATAAAGATTAAAAATTGAACATAAAAATACAAAATTAAAGATAAAAATGTAATACTTTATATTCATCGAATATAATGTTAATTATGACCAAAAACAAACCGAAGGGGCACAGCAATTGGTCAACCAACGCAGTCGAGCTCCAACATTTGCATCCGCAGTTGGAAAGTAGCTCGATTCGGAAACCGAAGGGTTCGAATATTCCGACAGCGTTGTATATCGATAATCGAACGATGTTGTCGCGTGGAGTCGTGTTCTTGCATTCTCGTGTACGCGTGGTTGCGCGACACCTCTGGCCCCGAAATAACGGTGATGGCGTTATGGAAACCTCCACGCCGGCGGCCATTAATTATAATTAATATCGACGCCGATAATGGCAGCCGGCACACACCGTATATTGCCAGGACATGCACCACGCGGAATGCTCGCGGATCGTCGCGCCGCGCCGCGCCGCGCCGCGACGCGACGCGACGCGATGCAACGCGACGCAACGCCGCGCTGTGCAACGCGATGCAACGCGACGCAACACGCTGCACCGCGATGTAAGTGCAACGCGGCGAGCTCCGGTACGCGTCCATATAAATTTCCATCGTCCCCGATCCGGATGATCTTCCTGCGGCAGCGAGCGGTCAATTTGTAGGCTGGCCGCTTGTTAAAAAGTAAAAGAAACGCGTCCGCAGTGGTCCGCGAGCCATTAAAATCGCCGGCGAAAGATATCGACGACGTGGATTAAATGTGGCTCGTTATACGTGTCCAGGTTGTAAATCGTCGTTGTAAATCAATTGGCCGGAGCCTGGACCCGGCTAGTTCGCTGATAAATAGGATTAACTGATTTACATGAACGAGATCCCGGCTGGCCGGCTATCGATCATAATCAACGCTCGATGGAATTCATCCGACGTTTAAAGAACCACCGCTTCTTCTTCTTCGTCGTCTTCTTCTTCCTCCACTGAATGCGCGGAATTTTTGCTTCTATTCGACAGGCGAACCCATGCCAACATCCGATCGTGATCTTGAGGGACGTAGCCTCGTCCGACATGGAGTCCTTGCTGCGTTTCATGTACCACGGCGAAGTACACGTCGGTCAAGAACAGTTGGCCGCTTTCCTCAAGACAGCGCAGATGCTCCAGGTGCGAGGACTAGCTGATGTCAACAGCGGCGCTGCGACAGCCAAGATCCCGCCGCCATCGTCGTCCGGCGGATACAATGGCAGTGCACCGGTTAGTTCGATCTTTCATTTTGTTCCGTAAATTGCCTCGGAACTTGCAGTCCGAACGTCGGCAGAAATTGCTGAAAGATTCTAAGATAGAACTGGAAACTCCATTGTTGTATGCAAAATGGGGATTCAGGCTGACTTGCACTTAACGAGCGAGTATTGCACAGGTCTGTCAAGTGTTAGAGAGTATCTTGATTACGTTCATTCAAATAAAATTGAAGCTTGGTCTGGTTGAGACCAGGGAAAGTCTGGCATTCCGAGCTGGAAGTTGGGATACCTCGTTATGTGCAAGTGGGTGCTCCAGAGGGCAGCTCTCGAGGAGATTATGCTCATAGATCTGCTAAGCGTTAGGGACTATCCTGACTGCTTTTAAGCTAGAGTTCGTAGCGAGATCGTGTTAAAGGAAAAAGCTGCTAGAAATATTCTAGCTTCTTTAAGTAATTCCATGTTTTGTTGACTGGGTCTAACTAGTGTCTAGCTAGATCTATGTTAGTCTACGTTGATACACTTTGGTCTATCTACTTTGGTTTACTTTATTCTATCTTGATGCACCTTGGTCTACCTTGTTATACCTTGGTCGATCTTGAATCTTGATACACCTTGGTCTACTTGGATCTACCTTGCTCCATATTGATTCACCTTTGTCTACCTTGGCCTATCCTGGTTTACCTTGGTCTATTTTGATCTATTTTGATCCATTTTGATCCACCTTGGCCCACCTCCACCCAATTGCATTTAACTCCAGTCCCCGCCAAAGTCTCCAACATCCCGTACAATCACTTGCACCAACTCCGCCCAGCCTCCAACACTTGGCAGAGCCCATCAACGCTTACGAAACCAGTCCAGAATGATTACAAAGTGTCCCAACAATGTGTCTAACAGGCCACACCTCGAAACCCTTGGCAAGACAATGGCAGAGGAGACCTAAACGAGGGTGGCCTGAGTCCACCGCCAGAGAAGAGACCTAGAAGCCAGAGTCCACCTCTTGGTAACCATGTCGAGCAGAAGTCGGAGCTTCAGGAATCGCTGTTGGGGCAAGCCTTGGAAGGAGGACCCACGATACACACTACACCTTCTAATAATGTACAGGTAAGATTCTTGATCGATGTGTTCTTTGATACGCGAGATGATTTGTGGAAGTTACGAGAATGAGGATCCTTGTTGATCAGGCACAGTCTACCGGCGAGGACTCGAACTCCATGTCGGACAACGAGGAGGACATGTCGAACAACGACAGCATCTTGAACTCGGTCAAGACAGAACCTAGCGACATCCTGAACGATTCTATGGAGCACCATCGTAACTCGTTTCCGGCTGCGCTTTTGGGACTACCAGGTAATCGATCTTATTAAGCTTTAATCTTTTATTCGAGACTTTGATCTCTTTTTGAGGCTCTGATTTTTTATTCGAGACTTTGGTCTCTTTCTTGAGGCTTTGATCTCTTTTTTTGAGGCTTCGATCTTTTTTTTGAGGCTTTGACCTTTTATTCGAGACTTTGATCTCTTTTTGAGGCTCTGATCTTTTATTCGAGCCTTTGATCACTTTTTGAAGCTTTAATCTTTTAGTCGAGACTTTGATCTCTTTTTGAGGCTCTGATCTTTTATTTGAGACTTTGGTCTCTTTTTCGAGGCTTTGATCTCTTTTTTTGAGGCTTCGATCTTTTTTTTGAGGCTTTGACCTTTTATTCGAGACTTTGATCTCTTTTTGAGGCTCTGATCTTTTATTTGAGACTTTGGTCTCTTTTTCGAGGCTTTGATCTCTTTTTTTGAGGCTTCGATCTTTTTTTTGAGGCTTTGACTTTTTATTCGAGACTTTGATCTCTTTTTGAAGCTCTGATCTTTTATTCGAGACTTCGGTCTCTTTTTTTGAAACTTTGATTACTTTTTTGAGGACTTTGACCTTTTATTCGAGACTTTGATTTCTTTTTGAGGCTTTGATCTTTTGTTCGAGATTTTGGTCTCTTTTTGAGGCTTTGATCTTTTATTCGAGCCTTTGATCTCTTTCTTGAGGCTTTGATCACTTTTTTGAGATTTCGGTCACTTCTTCAGTGCTTTGATACCTTCTTTGAGACCTCGACATATCTTCCTTAAGACTTTAATATCTATTTTGAGACTTCGATCTCTTCACCTTGAAGCTTTTGCAATTTTTATGCGGGCTGAATTAATTATAGCATCGGGAGATCTTCATTTTGCTGTATAGAGATTCACGTTCAAGTTCTGCGATTATTTCACCGATCAGTAGACCGTGGATTTTTGTGCAAAATAAAAATCGTTTGCATCGATTGCAATAAATAAAAACTAAATAGAAAGTTTCTTTTTTCTTTGAACGTTTCTATAAATTAGAAATAATATATTGACATTACAAAATTCTTTTAATGTTTCTGCTATCTGAAATTGGAACTATTCAATTTCGCTATAAATGCATAAAATCTGAAGTCTACCGATCAGGCTCAGCTGAGATTAATCAATCATATATTCCTATCAATTATATATTCCTCGACAAAATAAACAGTTCTGTGATATCTTCTACTTTTACGTAGCCGTGATTATTAGCAATGACTTATCCCTGCGATATTTGTATGCATGTCGCTTGGATTAATTTTCCGCATTGATTATTTTCCGACGATTTCGCGAATTGTGTGTGTGTGCGTGATTGGTGGCGAGGAAAGTTCTGACGGGAACGTAATTATGACTTGCAGGACTGATACCAGGCCCGTCGGGGATCCACGCGGCGAACCAGGATCCGAGCTACGGTAAGTGATCAGAGCAACGATTCGATTTCACACAGTTTATTACGATTTCGTAGCCCAGACTAGTATCCTCCCATCGTTCCCTCAAGACTCTGGTCTCTCGTTGTTGCGTTGAATGCATGGAACTCTCGTACCTCTCACAACCCTGCATCCCCTTGCCCAAACTACCCTTTCGAATAAATCGAAAAATCAGAAATCGAGATGTAAGAAACGAACTAAGTAACGAAAGCGAAACGAAAGCGAGTAAAATCGGATTGCGATAAAATAGAACGCAAATAATAAAAAAAAAAAAAAAAAAAAAAAAAAAAAAAAAAAAAAAAAAAAAAAAAAACAAAAAGGCATGGCGAGGGAAACGTGATATCGCGGAGCCGCTGTCTCCGACGGCTCTTCGAGTCCCGTTCGCCGGAATATCGATTATCCTCCGCAAAGGCCTGCAGTCGCTAGAAACATTTGTTAGGGTTGCCACGCAAAGCCGGAGCTTGACTCTTTACTCGAATTCTTAACGACCCTTCGAGCCTTGCCGAGGCTAACGAGCTAATTGGTCGCTCTCTCGGTTGACGAGGTACGCATACACGATCGACCATATTCGAGAATAACGTTCTGGAAAACGAGAGGGCGGAGGGTGTGTGTACCGGAATCACGACGAAGAAGGAAACTTTGCACGCACGAGTCCGCCGACGAGCGGACGAAAATAATAAAAAAAAAGTACCAAAATTGTCTTCTCTCTCGAAACGAAAAAAATAAACCAAAAAAAAAAAATGTAAAAACGTAAACCGAAAAACGTTAATCGAATAAAAAAAAACCGCCTCCTCTTCTTCGGTCATAGAGACACGAAAATCGGGGGAGGGATCTCGAAAAAAAGCAAAAGCGAACAAAAAAAAAACAGTAAAAAGTCACGAAAATACCGAAAGAACGGAGAGAAAACGAAGGGCTGTGGGAGGCAAAGAGCAAAAATAGTGTTTAAGGGATCGGTACGAGGTTGGCTGAGGACTGACATTGGCTGGTGGTTCCAGGGCGATGGCAGCCCTCTGGAGGAGACGGTTCAAGCTCGAGTTCCGGTTGGTTGCCGGGCGCGTCCTCGACGAGGAACGAGCAGACCGGGCCTGGAGAATACCCGAGCGGGGCTCACAACTCGGAGGGCCAGGATCTCTCGTCTGTCCTCCACCAGCACTATCATTACCATCAGCTGCACGCCACCAGCCAACCGTCGTCGCAGCAACACGCCCTCAGTACTTTGAACTCGCTCAACTCCCTGAACAGCCTGAAGACGGAGCAGCTGACGATCATGCACCAAAAGCTGCAGAACAATCTGCAGAGCTTGCAGCAGCAACAGCAGCAGCAGCAACAACAACAACAACAACAGCAACAACAACAACAGCAGCAGCAGCAGCAATCCTCGACAGCGAAGAACGAGCTGAACCTAATGCTGCAGTCATCGGCCAAAGACAAAATCGACTGCATGGCGTTGTTCCATCAGCGCCGGTTCCAGCAGTCGCAGCCTCATCAGCATCATCCGGTGGACAACGGTGGTCCGCCCGGTAAACCGAAGTGTCCCGAGTGCGGGAAGATCTATTCGAACAATTCGAACCTGAAGCAGCACATCGTGAACGTGCACACGGTGCAGACTGAGTACGTGTCGTGCCACGTGTGCAGCAAGCAGTTCAAGACGAAGCAGTACCTGCAGATACACCTGCTGTCGATGCACGGCATCAGGAAACGGAAGAGCTACCCGCTCTATCAGATACAGACGCCGGTGTCCTCCGGCGGGCAGGGCTCCTCGAGCCAGCAGTCGCAGCACCAGTAACCCGGCGACAAAGCCGGCCCCAGGAGAGAACACGGCGATCGATCGATTGGAACATCGATCGCCTGGAACTCGTCGCGAGCCTCTGGACCGTGAACCAGGCTCGACGAAAGCGGATGCTGGTAATCTGTATTCGTGTACTGGTCGCTAACACTCGAGAGACACTCCGACACGGTCGAGTGCTAGCAGAGACCTCCTCGCAAATAGTCTTCGTTCGCGCGGACGACGAGCGAACTCGTCGTCTTCGTCGTCGTCTTCGTCGGCTTCGTTCTCGTGTTAAGTCTAGGGGAGCAACCACCGCCGGATAGAGTTCTTTTCCCTTGAATAGTCAGAAGGGCGGTGGTGGCGATAGGCAAGCGGAGGCGGAAGAGGGCGCCGATACTAGGATTGGCCGACCTATTTTCGCACGGTTCCGCAGTGCGCAGCCAATCCTTCGACGCGCTGCGATAGGGAAGCACCGCCGATTGGCCGGAACGGAGGACCGGGAACGCTCCTCGTGGAATTCTTATCGGCATAAGTAGTCGGATCGGAAAGGATGCGTCGGCCTGATTACTTGAAAGACCGCCGCTTACGGGGTGGGAGACGCATTCAACCCTCGTCGCGCGAGCAC